TTATTGATGAATTATACAAATATTTTCTTTAATCCACTTAATGAAATAATAAACCTTTACTATGATAAATTCTCTTTCACCATTGAATGAAAAAAGCAATACAATCAATTCCACTCCCCAAACTTTAAATAGATATAGGCTAGATATAAAAAATTTAATCCTTAATATGTATTATCATGATTCCTACTAAGCTTTTTAATAGTATAAAAATCCTAACTCCTTGCTTTAGTTATTTTCCTATGACATATAAATTTCATAGTAAGTCTTCTCTACTACCCTTTCCCCTTTGGCCTTTGGGAAAGTTAAGTCAGTAAGCACTTGTGCCTTGGTGGCAATCCTTGGCATATAGGAATTAGAACTCACTAGCCTCTATCACTAACTTTAGTAATATATTAAATGATCAAGTTTGGCAAGTATAATTTTCAATGTGTAGTTTATTACAACTTAAATTGAGTTTACTTGAAAATAAGGTTAACTCGATGGGATGTAATCACTAAAGCCCATTATAGTTTCTCTTTGATAGATATCTTAATTTATCCCCTCAGAGAATTTTACTTTTGTAATATATTAATCACTACTTTCTTAACTCTTTACAAACTAGCACGGATCTTACATCATATTATCCTACCCAATATATAAAAATTAAATCTTCCATGGTTGTAGGCTTTATAATAGTGGAAGTAATGAAGGGAACAATTTTAAATGTTGGTAGACAACTTCATACTATTCAATCCATGTGAAGTATTTCACACTATTCAAGATTTTAAAGAAGTATGAGCACCTATCACCCAATTGAGATGAATCGAGTTAACCTTATGAATTTTCAAGTTAGTTATTACATATCCTTGGCTATCTTTGGAGAAGACATCTCTAAGATCAACTTTATCTTATCTATATTTACTTTGATTCCTTCTAGGATACATAAAAATCCAATCTTCCCTAACCTTACCCCAAAGGTGCATTTTAGAATATTAAGGCCTATATTATACTTCTTTTGATGTTATAAGAGGCCCCTTCAAATTAATGATGTGCTGCTTAAGCATCTTGCTCCACTAGAGATAGTCTACATACACTTTAATAATAATCTATTTTTAGTTTTTTGAACACATGATCCTTTATTTGTTGATAGGTTTACCTTATAGTTTTTAGGAGAAATGACATAACTAAATGATAAAATAGATATTCTCTTATTAAAAAGATGTCTTCTCACAATCATTCTTATGCAACTTGAGTTGTTGGTACCCAAAAAAGGCGTCAAGATGATTTATTATTGGAAAGCCAACTATCGAGTCAAATAGTGCATCAATTTGAGTGAGTGGATAGACATCCTTTGAGAAAGCTAAATTTAAATTGTTGAAGTCTACGCACATTCTCTACTTGCCACTTAACTTTTGCAATAATGTTATGTTTGAAATTCAATTAAGATACTGAACTTTCATTATGAATCTAACTTCAAGTAGCTTTTGGGCTCTTTCATTATAGTCTTAGGTAGGATGTCTACTATTTTTCTAATCTATTTATTTTCCTTACATCCTTTGTAGAATTTAACAAGTACTTAGTGACGTTGATATCTACTCATGCATTTAAACAATTATCCAAATAAATACTTTAATATATTTATAGAGGGCTAGAATCAGACATCCTCTATGCCTATGCTTAAAAGAATTATTGATACAAATAGTTCACTCTAGGACTCCATTGATGGTTGAGTCTTCCTCCATTTCCTCCAATAAAAAATTATATTATAGGTTGCCAGAGCATCAGATATAATTAAATTAGTGATGGTTGTATATTGAGATTATCCTTTTGCCCACATGATAGGCAGAGTGGTCATGTATTGTATCTCCCTTTGCTCTTAAAAAAATATTAAGAGTGGGCACATAGTTGGGTTCAAGTAGGAAGAACCCAAATTCATCTTCATCAAGATGTCTTTAAAGATAATGTTGATTGAATTTCCAATATCAATCAAATTATTCCTATTTGGTAAATAAGAGTAGTTATAACTATTTCATCATGAAAAGGGTTCTCATTTATGGTCTTGTTTACTTCAGAGAAGGACATCAACATGATTTCAATATAAGGGGCTCTAGATGTAATTGTTGAGTTCACCTCTACAGATCAATGTGATATTATACTAGCGTAGTAGAATATTTTTACTCTATATCTTTTAATCATGGTTTACACCATGCCAATTTTGAGTTTCATAGGTTCAAATAAGCTCATTTCTATGCCCCTCTACATGTGCCTTCCCTTATCTCTTCTTAAGGGTTTGCTTGGATGAACTCTTCCTTTCTTTTTTTTTTTTATGGATTAGCTCCTCCTCTATGTTCCTCATATGACTATACTCTAATGTGCTATATCCATGTTCCTTATTAAATGTTAGTACTTAGAGGCATCCCTTAAATGGACTCCATCTCTCATGGATGTGGGGTGTTTGAAAAAATAAATTCTATATGGCCTTTAGAAGCTCAAACATTAACACTCTTGCCATGGAGCTCATCGAATAATGGTGAAAATGAGGTGGTTTCTCTTCAAGGTAGTGTTTAATGGGGGTGACACCTATTGCACCCACTGAATGTAATCTCCTCTCCATTCTTTGGATCCTTGGGTAGCTCCTATCATTGTTATGGACTCATGGGAAGACTCACCTTATTGATGCATCTCTCAAGTGACTTGAGGAAGAGGACTATACTATTATACTACTCAATATTGATGTGATTGTTGGTGGGTTTGTACAACTTCATTAAAATTTTTGGTCTATTATAGGATGAGAGTGTTCCTATATATATGGTCTTTCTTGCAAACCTTGGATGAGAGTGACTTGGGTGATTGCAATATATGAATTCTTCACATCAACATTTATCTTCATATCTCACAATAATGTTTCTCAATGACTCATTAGGCACATGTTTAGAAGAGTCGTACGTTCTTCGATGGTATTTAGGAACTGATAAATTAAGCATGTACATTCTTGTGAACTTGATAAAGTAGGTGACAAGCACATCAGGAGAGACTAAACTACCAAAGAGGCGATTCTTTGAAGGTGGTAAAAAATAGGAGGTACTTCTGAGTGTCCCTAATGTCAATTAATGAGATCGACGACTCAAAATCGACTGCATGACTAGTAGGATTTGACCTTCCTTTGTATGATTCAAGATAAGTTATCTTGAACTTCATTAAAGGTTTGTTTAATACAATCTCTCTGTAGAATGCATTTGTCAGGTATTTTCTTTGCCTCTCAATTCTCCTACTTGGAGGGGTGGACTCTTCGTTGCTATGGTAGTAGGTTTAGTCTAACTTCTATAAAAGTTAGCAACCATGATGACTGTTAGTTTTCTTTGGATTATTAAATTTGAAGAACCTTTTGGCATCTCCACCCTAAACATAACTCTAGGAACCCACTCCAAAGCTCCTTAGATGTCCCTCATAACCCTCTCCTCCAGTTTATTGTTCACAAGCTATTGGTTCTTCATAGTCATGAATCCTTCTCTATTTAGCTGCTTTGCTTCACATATTGCATGATTTATTATTTGTGATATCAATCCTTGCTCAAAGCACATTTTAGAATATTGATTCAAAATCTATTTATATTAATACTAGAATCCTAGTTACAATACTTGCATAATTCCAATAGAAAAAAAAATTGAAGAAAAGAAAGAAACAAAAGAGTTTTAGGGATAAAAACTCTAAGAACTCTATTGCTAACACAAATACACAGAAATAACAACTGTGTGAAAAATTGGTTATTTTTCTACCCTTCTCTAGCAATGGAAAAGGGTAAGGGGGAATGAGGTAGCTTCTGCCCTCTTAAAATTTAAATCTATTTATAAATAATAAAAATAAATTAAAAATATTCACATATAGATTATTTTCATTACATAAAATTAATTTTACCAATGTTGATTTATATACCCCTTAAAAAAAAACTTCAAGCTCCGCTACTAAATAGATAGAAATAAGAATAAAAAGATTTTTTTTTTTTGGGACATTTAGGCCATTTAAGGCAAACTCACACACACAACGCATACACATAGACTCAAACCCTAGACCTCTTAGTTGGAAGCCTAAGCTCTCAACCAATAGGCCAAGGAGAGTTGTGTGAATAAAAAGGTTTTATTAAGATTTTTTTTATCATTAGTACGCACACATTATAAATAAACCATAAAAAAAAAAAACTGAAAAATCACATTTCTATATTTTGTCATCTTCACCCAATGAAGATGTGTTATGTGTCAGTAATGATGAATTAATTTGTCTGTGCTATCTTATTAATTAAATTCTTATCCCTTAGAAAGTCTTATTATGTAAGCCTGAATTTGATCTAAAATAAGACTTAGGACGAAACTGCTTTCTTAATGTTTATTAAAATATTTTTTTTTGAACAAAATTTTTTATTTTTATTAAAAAATTACTTTAAGAAATAATAAATTAACTGTCCCAAAAAGAAAACTTAATCTGAAACCCTTTAGCAATAACTTCTGAAATATTTACTTAGACTGGCATTTGATTGAACATCCGTTGCATTCCCGTACTATTGTTAAGCTTTAAAGCAGAAATATATTTCCTTAATCTGAGTTGATTTCTTCTCAGAAAAAAAGTTATATTACGAGCTTTTCATATAAAATTCATCTAAGTGTAAAATATTTACCAAAACAATTAAAGATCCAAAACTTTTGCTTCGAACAAGAGTAGTCGGAAACTAATTGCTGACTTCAGGAGTCTGAAATTTTGCTTGCTTAATAAATTAATCGATTTGGGTTAGACAAACGAAGAGACATTCTCTGGCCGACGAATTAAATATAATAATTTGAATAAGTGGAAGAAATGAAATGAACTCTCAATAATTATTTGATGGATTGATCAGTTGATAGAAGCTTCTAAACCCTCTTCTTTTCACTCGAATTCCATGGCATTAAAAAAAAAAAAAAAATTGAAGTGAAAAAGGACATCTGAAGCATAAAAAAAGAGCATTTTTTTAATCTATACATAATCTATGATCATCAGCTCGGTTGAACTGAGGTTGCAGAAGCAGGCATTTGAGTACTGGGTTTGGATTGTTGGAGACTCAGGCTTGTACCATTGTAATGCTTCACCTTTTCAGGCGGTGCCTGCATCTTCATCTTTTTTCTCATATCTGTAGAAATTATTTTGCTTCCAACATCTGAAATAATATCTGCGCTGATTCGTCGAGCTTTTTCATGGTGTTTGGATCCATATGTGTCACTCCGAAATGGAGTTGGATCATTCAGTTTGTTTTGTATTGAAGGGCTTAGGCTTGAAATTGGCTTGTCCTGGGGACGAGGAACCCGGAATGTAGGAACCATATGTCTTTCTTGACCAGCTTGTGTTTGAGCGATCAGAGTTGGTTCCTGTAACTTCACTTTTGATGCTAACTTCTTCCTCTCAATCCTCTCTTTATTACGAACCTGAAGCTAATTTAAGAACAAAGAGATCATAAAATGGTAGATATGCAAGAATATTTAAGAATCATTCTTGGTACTTGAAAAACATCAAAAGAAAAAGCCTATGTGGGGAATAGAAGTTTATATTTGGCTCAATATGGGACATGCTGGCAAAATTTAACAGCAAATCATATGAATAACATGATACAATTAATCGAGATATAATGAACACCGATATTTACAAATTACAAACATTACGACGTGTGATTATATTTGCTTAAAAGAAAATTATAATTAAATAGAACATTTACAAAGATGGTGGTGACACCTTATGCTGTCTGCGCTTCTTTGCCCTGTATATTGCATCCTTGATTCCTAGATTATCCATGTAACCAGCAGGCCATAGCTCTGCAAACTGAAATACGGAAATAAGCAAGTATATAACTCAAAACATGTTGCATAGGGTAGAAAATAATAAATATATAAATACATAAGCAAAATAAAAGTAAACCGAAAAAAAAAAAAAAATGGAAACAAATAAAGAAACCTTCAGAAAACACATACAGAGCAATGAAAATGTCAGCAATAAAAAAATTAAGACATCCATCAATGCGAGTTTCATAATTCAGCCATAAAATTATAGTATTTTTAGTTAGAAGACATTCATGTAATCCAACAAAATAGATGCAAAGTATTTAGGTGACATGAAATACCTCGACATAAAGTTTTCGGCTCAGAGGCCCCTTCTCTTCATCCATCCCCTGGTGAGAAAAATAGAGATATGACAACAAGCGCAGATGATAATTTAAAGCATGTGGAGGAAACAAATACAGAAAAGAATGATCTTTAAGCCAACAAACAGCTTAGAAGGACACTGAATCAAGATAGAAGTCAATATACATACATAGAGAGATGGGTTCCACTCTACTGAAAAAAAATGCCATCTTTCTTGCCAATTAGTTGTTCCATAATAGTATTTCTAAAATGAATCAATACAGTTGAATAGATATAAATAAAATTGAATTAAATTTTATGATTACTTAATTAGATATTAAGCATAGGAAATAAAGAATGAAAAGCTTACAAGGTTGTGGTTGGATGCATTTGTAGTGTACTACATTTCAAATACATGCATTCTGAGAATTCAAGTATTTGGTTGGATGAATTTCAAATGTAACATAATTCAATTGTAATTTAGAATTCACTCTTGAGTTCATTTTTGGCATATTTGAAAATAGTTAGATTTGAAAAAGTTTCAAAAGATACTGCAAATTTTAAGTCAATGCCACGCAAGTTGCAGGTAACTGTTGCTAGCCACCACCTCAGCCTCACTCCATCACTTGCCACGACTGTCAACTGCAAGCCACCGACCGTTGATGCTGCCTTAGTTGCTTTTGTGGATAATATATAGTAAAAAAATGCATATGAAACTCGATGGTTTTTTCCTTTATTGATCGTCATAGCCATCTTAATTGAGTTATTTTAGGGGCTGTTTGGTTGCCTGCAAAGTAAACGCAATGTAAAGTAAATGCAGTGTAAAGTAAATGTAGTGCATTCCAAATACTTTGAGGCTGTTTGGTTGTCTGCAAAGTAAACGTAAGAGAATTGTTTCCCTTGTTTGGTTAGATATATCCAGAGTAAAGTAAAAACAGTGCATTTGTAATTTTTTTGTCATTATAACATGTGTATTTATAAAATTAATTACCGATTGTTTAAACTTCGTTTGGGATAGCTTTCTTCTTGCTTTCTAAAATTAATCACCGATTGTTTAAACTTCGTTTGGGATTGCTCATCATGGGCTCACAGATAGCACGAAAGATCATTGCAAAAACTTCGTTTGGGATAACTTGTGTATTTATAAAAGTTCTTACTAGACTGAAACCAAAAAAGAAAAACGACTTCACAAAACAATAACTTGCCAGAACTTGCTCTCGTGGGCGTCATGGTCCTTACTATTGTAAGATCATTGCTTTCTAGTGACTGAAACCAAAAAAAAAAAAAGCAGGCACCAATTAGAAGAGAATAAATCCACAAACTATAGTATACATCATAGATTGAACCATTCAGCCGCCGGTGGTCCCAAATCGTTGCTCTGATACCAATTTAATAGGAAATACTTGAGTTCGCAAGTAACCTAACCAAAATCGGCGAACATTCACAGCAAAACTTCTGTCCACAGCAGGAGAACAGCAAAAATCTGCTGTTTACAGCAGAAAAATAGCAAAACCACAAGGAAATCTGAGAGAAAACTCAAAGAAAAGCTTGTATTCCACTAGTCGATGAATAAAATAGCAAGATACAATTGATCCTCAATTCGAGAGGAGGATCGTTCTCTCCCAAATCTCTGGCAACGCCAAGAGCCCAAAGAAAACCTAAATCTAAGAGATCTCAAATTTCAGCCCAAATTCAAGATGCCCAAACCCTAGGAAAAACAACTATTTAATGCATACAAATCAAAAGGAAATCCCTAAACAGTCCCTACATTCAAATTCCCCTCTTAATTTCCCCAAAAAAGCTTCCTATTCGGCTCCCGCAAGGCAAGCGGTGTGCGCGGCCTCCGCCCAGGCGAAACAAATCACCTGTTTTGCGACTCGGCCGGTTCCGTGCGGACCGGCTGGACCGGTCTAACAATACTCCCCTCCCGAAAATCCACCTTGTCCTCAAGGTGAAGATATGCTCGTGTTCCGGTTGAGGTGGCCATCCTTGAGGTGACTGAAAATTCTTACTGTATTGCGGAACCAAGGGCTGCACGGAAAGACAAACATCCCCTCCCTCTTCCAATCTGATCGCATTAACACCCAAACTCTATCAATGATTTTATGACTTATGAAAGGCCTTCACTTGGATTTCGTGCTTTTGCCACTTCTCTTAATAAAATAGATATTAAAAAAAAATTCAAAAGCTCTTCAAACCATAGAGTAGAAGAAAATTGTAACGGAAGAAAGAAAAACAAACTTCACTTATAATGATAAGGGGGAAGTTTCTCAACTTTCTCTAGATAAACAATTGGTCGGATAAAAATTAATCTTTACAATAAAAAATAAAATATCTAGGAGAATTGATAAATTTTAAGTGCGATTTATTGCAAAAACATATAATCAATCATATGGAATTGACTATAAAGAAACTCACTCTAGTTGCCAAACTCAATAAAATTTGAGTTTTGTTCTCTCTTGCAGTAAATTTGTATGTGGTTTTACATCAAATTGAAATTACAAATATAGTTATTAATGGGGTCGTTGAGTAGAAAGAATACATGGAAATCTCACATGTACTAGACAATTAGAGAAATATCAATAAGGTACGCAGACTAAAAAAAACTCAATAAATGGCGACAGACAATCCCTCATGCTTAGTTTAGCAGATTCTCCAATATGTTGATTAATTGTGGTTACAGGTAGTGTCAAACTGATCACACTCTTTATCAAGCACTACCGGAAAAGAGAAAAGACATTTCTAAGTATGCATACAGATGATATTGTATTGATAGGCGACTTTAAGGAAAAGCTGATAGGATCAAGAGAATCTGATGTAAGAGACTTCAAAAATTTAAAATACTTTATTTATATAAAAATGGCATGATCAAAACAATACTATTATCTCCTATAGGAGGTATATTCTTAATCTACTTTAAGAAACAAGAATTCTTGGATGTGAACTCGTAGAAACTCCAATGGACCCAACAAAAAGAAAAATTTGGATCACCACTAACAACATTTTTGTTCTTAAAGGTAGGCTTCAATGTCTTGTGGGCAAGCTCATCTAGCTCTCTAAAAAATTCTGATATGGGGTTTCCTATTAGTCTTGTAAGCCAACACATGAATAACACTACTGAAGATCATATGAATATTTATTAATGGAATTCTAAGGTACCTCGAAATGGCATTAGAAAAAAAAAAGTCATTCAACAATGAAACTGAAATTTTCACAAATGTTGATTGGGGTGCAGTGCATCAGACCGACAATCCACCTCTGCTTATTGTACTTATACATGGAGAAACTTGGTTACATATATAAGTAAAAAACAATGTGTAAGCTGAAAATAGGTTAGTGGTACTTGGTATTTAATATTTATGAATGAATACGGTTAAAAAGATTGATAGAAGAACTAAACTGTCAAGTGGAAAAAATTTGAGGCCACAATCTTCTCATTTACAACAATCCAACAATTTTTAAACAATAACTTTCCATCTACAGCAATCTAGCTATCAATGGATAACAACTTTTCACCTACAACAATCCAGTTATATAGATTACCAACAGTAACATTTATTTTTCTTGTATTGTTAAATCCGAATTTAAAATTAATGATTGGTTTCTATAATTATTTCTTTCCTTAATAGTTATTTTTTCTATATATTTTTGAACAACTTCCATTTTAATATAATTCAAGAAAATAAAATTCAGTCATACAATCTCATTTTTTACTCTTCTTTATTTTCATTCTTATTTCCAATATATATATAAAGATAAGGGAAATGAAAATAAATCAACATTGAGAGAAATAGAAATTCTTCAATCTTGATATATTCAATACTAATACATATTACAAAATTTGCTGTACCTCAACGTATAAATCGTAGAGATCACAAAGCTTTTCTTCCAAAGCGACATCCATACTGTATCTTCCTGTTAAAGCTCTTCTCTCATCAGTGCTAATAACATTCTGAAAATCATCCGCTGAATCATTAAGTTGATCATGCCCCTATTAAATTGAAGAGCAAATTTAGCTTATACAACAACATGCAATAAGGCCCCACGTGTAATAAAAGATACATAGATTCCTTCCTAAGTTTCACAGTTTTCGAGTGTCATTGATATGCTTTTCAATAGGAAATAACAGCACTATTCCATAACAAAAAAACACAAGCCAACCTTCGACTTCAAAACTGATACACGTGATTTTATCATTTCATGAACCTCCTTCTTAATTTGCTGTAATTTGTAAGCCTTCTGCTGTTTTGCAGAAAGACCTAATTCGACCATCTCCCTCATGTTTCTCTGCAGCACGTAATCAGTTGCTACATTAATTACAAAACAAGGTAACCTAAAAAAAACAATGATAACAATCATTATCTAATGATTTTGTTTAAAATTTTGGATGCAATCTATCACTAATTTTGTTATAAGGCAAATTCGACCCCAACCAAGTAAGAGTCATCCTAACTCTGTAGCGGAAAAACATTTGAAAGTAATGTTATACCTCAAAGATGTCTTCTTGATCATGCCCAGTGAGTAAAATGACATTAACATAAATAAGTATGACAAAGAAAATTTACGCTGCAAAAAGATAAAATGGCATGTAATGCTACTATAAATTTCAACCTCCACAAAAACTTTGCATAAATTTTCAAACCAAGCATGTGGGATTTATTTAAGCTTGCATATGACATTGGATAAACAAGTGTGATTCTCTTCCTTCGGATTTAGCTTGCCCTGAAGGTAGTGCTCATTTCCATTTTTACCATAGATCATCATTGATTGATATCTGTGGGCTTCGAAAATTCGTACCCCGGGCTCCCCTTGCCTTCGGAGAGGGTTTTAACATATTAAGTTCCGGAGTAAATTTTCAGAATGCAGATTGGGTTTAAAATAAGACACTAACCAGAGATTTTGCCCTTATTTTGCGAGGACTTTATGATTTGAGTTCCAATTTCCTATAGGCACAAGCCCTTATAGTTAATTACCCCATTCGATATCGAGAGAGAATGTTCGATTAAGGCAAGTCATCAATCACATACATAGAAATATGGGCTATTTGGCGTATAGTAGTAGCATTGGTTAATATTTGAAAATTAAAAATTTCACAATCTTGTACTTAAAGTGGATGGTGGGGGAATGAAAAATGGACCCGATGAAGATCCCATGGTTCAGGCGTCCCGGGCCATCATGGTCTCTGGCCTTCTTTTCATAGGAGGTAGTCAACCCAACCTGACAGAAAGATCCTTGTCAGCAACCATGAGTTTCTTCGTCAAAGGAAACCTTGTGGACCTAGGGTGGATGCTTGTCCAAGAGGACAAATTTGAATCCACCTTAGCTAATAGAGGGTTTTGTGCCCTATCAATTATATCATATTGATTTATATCTTAAGGATTTAGTAGCATTGGGGAGCATATAGGCTTTGGCCATAACCGCAATTTAGTGGTGTCAATTAACGGCAAACTACTCGGTTCAGAGGGCTTCGATCATAACCGTTTACCTACAGTGCCATTGGCGGCAAAATCATCGGTTAGAGCACACGTATCACATCCTTACTGGCAGGAGATTATTTGAGAATGAATCCTAGTAATATTCACGACCAAACACTACCTCTTTATGAGCTGAAGTGTATTTTCAAATTTTTCCACCTCGAAAAACTATTGTGGAGGATGAATGAGTTTTGCTTTAAGTTGTTAATGATTTATTTCAATTTTAAATATTTTGAATTTTGATAGTTTTTAAAATTTTAAGCTTTCATTGGTATTTGGGTGACATTTTGAATATTTGAAATTAATCCATCTGGTTAAGATCTACATTCAACACGACCATCATCGGTGTATTTATGAGCATTTCATTTTATGAGTTGAACATTGCTGACTCTGTTTACTTCTAACAGAGGATCGAGCTCTTCTTGGACTTCAAGCCTTTATTAGTGAATTTTCACTGCTTATAGACCTTGAAGGCATAATATGAACGTATTAAAATAAATATCTCAGTTGATAATGTGACCGTATATTCGTTTGATAGTTTGACTCTTGTCAACTCTCATCTACTTGTATAAAAGGCCTAGGCTCGAACTTATGTTCATTTCTTGACCCACCCAGCATCCTCAGACGTCACGTGTGTACTTGTAACATGCTAGCCGTGGCCCATGTGGGTGTTTAGGAGGGCATTTATGTAATTATCTATTGAACATTGTTGACTTTGTCTAATTGCTGACAAAGGATCAAATTTATTGTCGGCTTTATGTTTTTATTAGTGAATTTCCATTGTTTATAGGCCTTAAAGGACTAATATAAACATATAAAATCAAATATCTTGTTCAATGTTGCGACCATATATTAATTCATTGGTTCAAGTTGTATCGACTCCCGTCTTATCAAGGACTGGACTTGAACTTAACTTCATTTCTTAACTCGCGCAGACGTCACGTGTTACTCATAACATGCTCGCCGGGGCAAATGCGGGTGTACGATTACACATGCATTTTCTTGTGTTTTTGTGTATCGTAGTGCATGTGTGGGAGCATATTATTGGATGTATGATGGGCCTTCTACGACAACTCGTAGAGGCTTGTGTTTATGATAGCCTTTATATGTTGGCCCATAGACGTCATGTTGAGCGAACGACGAGTCATCTATAGCCGTACGTAGACATCTACTCTTGTTGCACGTCGTACATCTTTAAAGGTAGGAGAACGACGTATTCACTTATAATTAAGTGACATTGACTGTGTGAAGATGGCATTTTCATCGGACTTTTCGAACACACCTTTGTCGTCAATTCATTATATGTTGACATTGTACACTAGGTGTTGTTGTATTTATTATCAATTTTCTTATGTAGGTTGATCAGCGAGTTGCTGCATTAGCTCGCATGTATTTCAGTGTTCCTGAATACTATTGCAGGTGCTTGTATGTTGATCATTATCGATTCTCGAACACTGCAATATTCACTGTCTATCGAGGATCATCACTTGTAAATATGTTATTATGTCTGTGACGAACTTGTAGCTTCATCGTATAGATTGATTGACAAATTGCCACCTTGTGCATTATTCACAGTTCATGGGTATCAATATTCTTTGTCCATATGTTAATAAGCATATGTCATAGGAATGCCACTTCATTTATTATGCATCCTCTACACTGTTAGTGAGCAAATCACCGCATAATCTCCTATTGCTATTCATATGTGACTTGTTACATGCCTCATTGGTCTTTCATCCTCGATGGTGACTTATGATATGCATAATGCCCCCAGCAATCATTATTTCTTTGACATTTACATTTCATTTGGAATAAAGGCTTTCAACACTTGTGAGAAATTTCATGCTATCGGCTGTAGGCATGTTGCCATATTCTTCATTTAAACATTGCATGCAGATTGATTTGTTTGAATAGTTTGAATTATTTTAATCTCATCAATACTTGCTTATATGCCCTTTTGAGAGTATATTTTCATCCATCTATCCTTTATCCATTAATATTTAGTTGAGTGACTAGCATTGTCATTTGTCATTTACATTCTCATCTTGTTTATGCATTTTATCATTTTCAAGTCAACTCTCCGCTGTTCATTTAAATGTTCAGTCCTCTGTTGTTCAAAGTTGATTCAAGTCATTTGTTCAGCCATTCAAACTCAAATCCTTATAGTCCAATCCGTGCATCCAACTCACATTCATTTAGTTCAAATTCAAATTCATTTAATTCTTTGCTTAGTTTAGTTTCTTTGCATTTGTTCATGTTCAAATTCAAATTATTTGAGTTAAATTCCAGTTCTCTATTCAGTTTGAATTCAACTCAAGTCCACCAAAATTTATTCATTTTTAGTGCGTCGTCAGTTAAAATTTAAGCAGACTCTAGCATCTCCACGTATGATGAATTTCAAGAGTCTGGGTCATCCCGCCATGCTACTAGAGCATGTATGGTAGGTGTCGGGTGACACCGTGGCCATATTTCTTCAACCCCACCATACTATGAGAGCGTGTATGGGTCTTCGGAGTACCTTTTTGAAGACTCGCAATTGGTTTTCACCGCCAAGCTACGAGAGCATGTACAGGAACTACCCGCCTTGCCAAAAGCGTCGCACAGGGCTTTCCTCCTACCGTGCCACGAGAGTGTGTATATGGGATTTTTTGGCTCGCTGCAAACGCCGAGGGCAGGGTTTGAGTTTAGAAATTATACCTTCACGAGGCTTGATGTCAATGACGACGACGACGATGATTGGAAATACACAAGAGCTAAAATTTCCCTCTTTCTCTCTTTTTTTTTTGCCATTTATATTTCAGTTCTCTCTTTTTTTTTTTAATCTTCTTCTTAATTCATCTTACCTTCATATATACATATATAACAATGATGATAAATATAGCTAATAGCATTAATGAATCCTAATTAGCTATATGAGATAATAAAAGTAACTAATACAAGTGAATAATTGAATGAAAAAAAAAAGAAAGTGATAATTATTTAAATATGAATAGTGTTCATACTAACTTTATCACTTAGTTACCAACAGACACTAAATAATAAGGATTAAGAAAAAAAGAGAAATAAAATAAGATAAAGAAAAGTAGCAATAATGGAAAGGTGTTCACGTGAGCAGGAGGAGATATCTTAAGCTTGTGAGTGGTTGCTACACGCAAAGGCTGGTTGTAGGCGAGTGTGGGAGAGGATGGATAGCAAATGATCTGCAGGAAGAGGGAGATTGTAGGCTTATTGTGAAGAGCTGGTCGGATGGGAGGTTGACGATCTCGGCATGTTAAGTGAAGTGGCTTACAAGGGAACTTTTATTAGGTCCGGTGTAAGGACGTAGAGGAACGTCCGGTTTGAGGCAAAATCCTGCCAAAAAACTCGGTATTTGCTTGGTACAACTAGGTATTATTTGATATTAATGAGGAATACCGCTCTTTGAAGACCAATACCGAGTTATACCGAGTTGTACCGAGTTTTTCTAGGAAAAACTCGATACAACTTTTTGTATAACTAGGTATTTCTCGATTTAGCTCAGTATAACTCGGTATTGGGTCTTCAAATGATGGTATTCCTCGTTATTGTTTGGTATTGCTCAGTATTTCCTCGGTGCAACTCGTTTTTTGGCGGGATTTGGCCTCCGACCGGACGTTCCTCTGCGTCCGGTCGGAGGACGTAATAATTGTTCCTTACAAGGGCTGCTTGGCCCTGTTGTAGGCATAGGAGGGAAGAGGGATCGAGATGTGTAAGAAGAAGTGGGATTTCGGTTGAAGGCTTTGTGTGTGACGTATTTGGACTTTGCGTGAAGTAGTTGGATTGGGAAACAAAGAA